GACGAAGGTGGTGAACCGAAGTGTGGAGACCTATTTGAGGTGTTTTGCGTTAGAGACCCCGCGGATGTGGGCAAAGTGGCTGCCTTGGGCTGAATACTGGCATAATACCTCGTACCATTCGGCCTCCCAGATGACCCCATTCAAAGTGCTGTATGGAAGGGACCCTCCACACCTAGTGCATTGTGAGAGAGGTAGTACACCTGTGTCGTCAGTGGAGCAATATTTGGAAGAAAGAGACAAGGTACTGGAAGATTTGAAGAAACACTTGATGAGATCCCAACAGATTATGAAGAAGCAGACACAGGAGGGACATGCAATTTGAAGTGGGAGAGAAGGTATTCCTAAAACTACGACCCTACAGGCAGAGGACAGTATCGAGAAGAAGAAATGAGAAGTTGGCACCGATGTACTTCGGCCCCTACGAAGTGTTGAACAAGATCGGCGCAGTGGCATATCGATTGAAATTGCTCCCATCAGCCACCATACATCCAGTTTTTCATGTATCCCAGTTGAGGAGAGCGATTGGAGAGCATGCAGTTAGTACGAAGTTACCAGTGACACTGACTGAGGAATTAGAAGTGATATTAGAGCCGCTGGAGCTTGCAGGAGTAAGATCAGATAAAGATGGCAACAAAGAAGTGTTGATTAAGTGGAGGGGTCTGCCCGATTTCGATGCTACATGGGAGCCATTTGAAACATTGAAGGAGCAATTTTCCTTTTTTCACCTTGAGGACAAAGTGAGTTTTTGGGAGGGGAGTAATGTTACGCCGGCCCAGGAGGGACCGGCTAGACCGGTCCACTGTTACTCCAGGCGGAAAAAACAGAGGGGGAGCGGGATTTAGAGGAGGGGCCACATTGGCTAGGGTGATTTTAGGAGGGAAAATTTTGAATGTTGGGGGCTATTTTAGGAAGTTTATTATTGTCCTTTGTGTTTATTTAGGGGATTGGGGGGGGGGGGGAATTGAGTCCTCGTCTTGAATTTGAATTTGTAATTTGAGATCTAGGTTTTGTTTTGGGCTCTTAGCATCGCCGGAGATTATGGAGAGTACGTTATTCTCTCGAATCGAAGAACAATTGTATTTTGGTTATTTTGCTTTGAGTTCTAGTGAAATACAAGCCTCTACTTGTGTTTTTCTCTCTGATTTCTCTATTTCTAGCTGTTTTCCTGCTATTTCACTGCTGTGGACAGCAGTTGGCTGCTATATTTTTACTGGTTTGGGTTAGGAAACTTGTGAATACAAGTTTTTCCTATCACATTTTCACACCTCAATTAAAATATAATCAGGTCCAAGTACTTTTCCACACTTTATTTTCTTTAAAGCTTCTATAACTTCGATTTTATTAATATGATGATAAAAATAAAAATTTCTATTTTTATTTAAGGTGCTAAGATTACTAAAATCAATCATATTCACACAATCTTTATTGAAAAACTTATCAAAATATCACATCCACCTATATTGAATATCCTCTTCTAATAAAGCACATTTTGATATTCAACCTTAATGCACTTCACTTTAACAAGATCATTTCTTCTCCTATATTTTTGTTTGGCTAACTTATACATACATCTTTTGCCCTCCTTAGTATATAATCCATTATATAAATCACTAGAAACTAAATTATTTGCATCATATATTACTTTCTCAGACTCTTTACATACTCATTTATATATTTTCTCATTTTTCGAGCTTTTACATCAAATCAATTTTTATTACAATTTTTTTTTTATATGTTTTCTTGCATATTTTAATTCCACCACTAAATATTTGTACTATTAGGAGATTTTTCTTTTGATATTCTAAGCACATATTTTTCAACATTTTGAATATCACTGGTTACTTTTTTCAAAATAATACTAAGATCCTCATGAACAAAAAAAATCTAGAGATCTTTAATTTTATTTTCAAAAACATTTTTATTAATATTATTTAAATGCTCCCATCTAATCTTAGGATAATATTTTATTTTATTTTTTATATTCCACTACTTCATATGAATGTTTAAAACTAATAAGCAATACTGGATACATAAACTTTCACTCTGAATGACTACAATTTTTGCAATCTAAATGATCTATTTTTCTTATAAGAAAATAATCAATATGAGTTTCACTATATCCATTCTTATAAGTGATGACATGTTTTGCTATTTTCTTAAATTAGGTATTAGTAATTACAAAATTATAAGCTAAAATAGAATTTAATATAGTCCAACAACCTTCATTGGTCGCTCCGAATCCATTTTTAAAAATCTTTTACCACTCTATTAAGTTGTCACAATTAAATCTCCTTCAATAAAAATTTTATTTAAGAAATATCCTTGTAAGTTATTCTTAAATTATAATTTTGAACATATTTAAACTTACTCGAAGAGCATACACTTATAATATAAATAATCTTAGCATCAACAACAATCTTCAAAGCTGTAATTCTGTCTCTAATTTTATTAATTTTCATAATATTATCCTTGAAATTCTTATCAATATCATACATACATCATTTCCAATATGATTCTTACATTAATACTCTCATTTAAATCCTAAACTATCAATCTCCTTAACATTTTCTTTAATCAATTTAATTTCATGAATACATAGAATATTCATCTTCATATGAATCATAATACTATTAATTCTATTAATATGCTTGAAAGAGAACATATATTCAAAGTTCCTATTTTGATTCTATTTTCATGAACTAGCATCTTTGCTCACATATGTCCATGATGTGGGAACTCTTGCTTATTTAACATTGCACTTGGATGTCAATGCAGCGGCCCTTGCATAATTTTCGCTATTTTCACAAAATAATGATGAATTTAAATATCCCTCATCTCTTTCTCTTCCAAGAGAAAATCTCAAAAACAAAAGCATTGATACAAGCTCTTTTTGTTTATGCTTCTATTCTCAAGTTAAAAACACCTAACAACTACTCACAACTTATCTCTAGTTGCAAAAACCCTTAAAAAAAAAAAAAAAAAAACATATTAGGCTTTCATGAAACTTTAAGGGCTATTTGGTTGGTAAAAAAAAAAAGGCCTATTGGTTGGTGCCTAACAAGGCTTAAGTGCCAAAAGCCCAAAATAATTTCTCTATACCAACCCTGGCTTAAACAAGAATTTGCATCAAAGCATGCTTAAGCTTAACTTATGTTAAGCTTACAAAAACCCTAGCTTAAAAACCTTAATTTAACTATGATAAATTTGAAATAATCAATCATAAGTCAATAAAAGTTATTTATTTTAAAAAATAAAATGAGTAGTTAATATTTAATTAAGATAACTAAGATGGTGACATGGTGTTAATATTAAGTTATGATTAATCACTTAATTAAGTATTAGTTGAACCTTTGTAATTTTAATTAGGTTTTTTATGAATTACTTGGATGTCTTCAACCCAAATTAAATGAAATAATGTTTCTATAGCATGAATTGCTAAAAAACTATTTTGCATACGAAGATTATCCAATAATACAAGCATGACAAATCAACCCTTACCCCCGCACCCCTTTTGTCAATTAAGGCAACAATGCCATACAAGTATAAATTTTCCAACGATTGAGCAATTCTTTGTGGAGAACCCACAAAGAATTGGAAACTTCTACTATGATTTCATGGAATTTGATCCTAATCAACTTGCAAGGGTCGCAATTTTTATAATTTTATGTTTGGTTGTCAGTCATAGTTATAATTTTCCATCCATTTAAAGGTTAAATAAGATGAGAAAATATTATAAATGTCTACATCACAAACACATTCTTTTGATTGGATAAACAAGAAACATAAGATGAGAAAAAAGCCAAAGAGTCTAGCCTTAGAGCAACTTCTTCAAAAGCTAGATGCACTATGGAAAATTTAGCAGTTTGTAGCAGATTTGCAGTTGACTTTCCGACCGAATTTTTTTTGTCGAAAATGGTGATGAATTTGTGATGAAAACTTTTGAAGAATTTTTACGACAGATTTGCGGCGGATTTAAGGCAGAATTTCCATCGCAAAAATTTAATAAATAAATTTAAATTAATTCAATTAACTAACTAACTAATTTAATAACTAATGTAAATTTAATTAATTAATTTAAAATAACTAATAAAAACTTAACTAAATAACTAATTAAAATTAACTAAAAAACTACTTTAAATAAACTGATAATATTAACTAATTATATTGCAAGCCCATAGTTAAATTAAAATTAAATTTAAATTATTTCTTTATGTTAAGTTTAAATTAACTAATTAAATAAGTTGAATTAACTAATTAATTAATAATTTCAAATTAACTAATTATATTGCAATCTCACAGTTAAATTAATTATATTAAATTTAAATTAGTTAATTATATTAAATTTAAATAATGTAATTAACTAAGTTAAATTAACTAAGTAATTAACTTAGTTAAAAAAATATTACAAGCCAACCTCTCTTTAAGCTGGTCCGCCTCTTTCCCCCTTTCTCTTCAGCTTAGTACCACATTGCCTAGGCATCGATGCTTTTTGTTGTTCACAGGCAAAGCAATATCTCAACCGGTGAACGCAGGCTTCTAACGGGTTGTTGGGCTCGTTGCTGAGAGAATGCGGGCGGGTCTTAGAGTGTGCATGGTTGTGGGATGAGTCGCGTGCTCATTGTTGATCAAGACACCTAGCTAGGAAGGTTGTGAAGGTACGTGGTGGGCGGGTTCCACGGACTGGACTGGTTTCCTTGGTTAATTGGCCGAGTTGAAAAGATAAATTAACTAAATGATAAATTTTTATTATTGTTATTTTGTCTAAATTTTCCGACAGAAACCTTTCGTCAGCAAATTCGTCCCAAAATATTTGCAACGGATTTGATCTGTTGCAAATACTTTTCCAACGAGATTTTTAGCGTTCGAACGTATTCCACCGCAAAGCTAAATTTACGACAGATTTGACTTGTTTTGCGGCGGATTTTTCTGTCGAAAATGGCTAAAATTTCTGTAGTGATGACTTCAAATTCAAGTTCATACCCAATAGGATAAGAATCTACCTGTTACACATTTCACCAACTGTGAGTTTAAAGATGCCTTCGCCGTTCGACTTGAGTGTGCGCCGCAAGTCACCATCTGTAAAAGTCCCAATCAGTCGATTTTCAGCATTAATGACTAAAAGACATCCACAGCCTTTACTAGTCAGCTCTGTGAGTTGATCCATAATCATATCTCCTTCCTTGCAAAGTGGAAGGTCTTCTCGCTTTTTCATCAAATCCTTTACCTGCAGTGAATAGCAAACTTCATGAGTTGGACTTTTTTGTGTCTAAGCTGCTAAGATAATCATACATGAATCCCAATAAATGCACTAATCATAAAATAAAGTAAATACATTTAATATTATAGTCTGCTAATCTAAGTCAAGCATCCAAAAAGAATATATATATATATATATATATAAAGGATTTTCAAATTAAATCCTTAGAAACCCAAGTTTGAGTTCAGATGAATGAGCTAAAATCAAGCAACAAATAAAATTAGTAGTTCGAATCCTTGGAAAATTTTGATTCATGAAGCTTCATATAGGCATGTAAAGTTCAAATAAGTAATAATCTAAAAAAACCAAACAAATCTATTTTGTAATTAAGAGTTGGATATCATTATATTGTTTACAAAGTGGAGCGATTGTTCATAAAGATATCACTAATCGAGAATGAATCAGAAGAATTTCCTAATGTAAATAATATCATGCATGATATGAATGCATGCAAAGGAAATTAAGATTCCTAGAATGCAAACCAAAAATAATCAAACAATTTATTTTCTTAAATATAAATAGATAATATTAGAATTAAAACTCATCTAATATAAAAATTATCAAAATAATACAAAATACTCGATGAGGATTTAGAACCACATAAAACTAGCTAGGATTTGAAAATAGTGGATTTAATTTGCATGCAATCTTTATCTTTTCCTTTGATTGTCGACCACACTCTTATGAAGGAGAGTGGCTTTGATTTACATCATTAAGCTCGCACTAGATATTAGTGGTTAGCCACATCTCAATCTTGATACAGTCCTCTATTATGTGATTTGATCATAGGCATGCGCCCATATGATTGTGTTGCATCACTAGCACCATGGACATTGAATAAAATAGCACTCTTGAAGGGAGTTTAGATTGAAAGCTTGGCACTTAAGCTCACCATTATGATTTTGCCAGTTGAACAAAGGGTGTTTGTATGGGGATTGGACTGAAACCAAGATACCCGAGCACACTAATGTAGCCTAACATGTCAAATGAAAAACACATAATTGAGGATAGGTTGAAAGGTTGATATCTAATCTAAAAATCATAACCTGATAAGCGCCCACAAGAAGCAAAGTGGGCACATGCTAAAACTTTCTCCTTCAAGCGCAACTTCACATTTTAAGGAGCATGGAGGGTAAGGTTCGAAAACAAAAAAAGGGTAACTGATATGACCATAAGAAAGTACTTTGTTAGCTTGAATTGTTCAATCAAGAACACCATGATTCATCCTCCAATAATAATCATGCACTGAGGTTTAGACAAGATGATGGTCATTCTAAACCATTCATTGCTCGATTCCATCAATAATTGTATCAACCCACCAAAAAAGGAACTTTGCTGAATTAATTTAAACTCTTATTCACAGACAAACTTTAGTCACTAAGTTGAACTTTAGAGGGTGTTCTCTGATAAAAAAAAAAATCCTCATTGCTTTTGTTGTTTGTGTAAACGGCACAATATCAGGCTGAAGATCTGTCTATTCAAACTTAACTACATTGAAGATGATTTCAAGCACATAATAACAAAAAGAAAATAGATTCAGAGGCAGAATCAAGGAAGAAAAGGAAATAATGGAAGGAAAAAAAAAAAACAATCCACGGAATACCTTGAAGATGAGGCTCTTCCCGATCTTTCCGGCGGGATGATTGCGCGCGTACTGCTCCTTGGTGAGTTTCCTGACCCTCATGATCGCGGCCACAATCGTGTCACCAAACACCATCTGGATTGCGGTGGAGGTGACGGGTGCAAGGCCAAAGGGGCAGGCCTCTTTCTCAAGTGGTAAGTGAACGTTCATATCGCAAAGCGCGGCGAGGGGGTTGCTTTGTACGGAGGTAATGGAGATCAAGCGCGCGCCTTTCGCGCGGGCACAGGGTACCAATTTGAGAAGCTCATCTGATGATCCAGACTTAGAGATGAGGACTAGAAGGTCGGAAGGGAAGAGCGCGCCGATGTCGCCGTGGAGAGCGTCGACGGGAGGTAGGTAGGAAGATCTGGTGAAGCCGAGGGAAGCGAGGGTCTGTGAGAGCTTGTGGGCAACGAAGCCCGACTTGCCGATGCCGGAGAAGAAGACGGCGCCGGGAGCGTCGATGAGGGCCTGGGCGAAGGCCTGGGCCTGACCAAGGTCTAGGTTGTCGAAGAAATGGTTGAGGTGGCGCTGCTGGTTCTCGAAGAGCACGCCAAGGTCTCGCAGGTCGAAGGTGGAGGCGACCAAATGGCCGCCGGGAGACGGCAAGAAACCCATTTCGCTTTATCTCTTCTCTCGCTCACACACACAGAGAGTCGAGAGCATGATATAAGAAAACTATTCCCGCCGTTCTTCTCCGTGGCTGCAATGGTGGAGGAAGAATTAAAAGGAGCAATGTGCCGGTAAGATGGGCAAATTATTGCATCAGGTCATCAAACAGAGAGGATCTATAGTGTCATGCGCTTTACTGTAGAAAGAGAGGACCGAATGTGTTCGGTGACCTAATGCAATAAGCAATAATTTGTCGGTAAGATGAGAGTTATAGGTGACGAGGTCGGCGCCATGAGACAGATTTGGACTGCCATTTCGTTTGCTTTCACCTTCAAGGGTCTGTATGCTGCAAGTATAATTTATTTATTATTTGGAAAAATTTAGGGGCATAGCACTTTTTCATTGATCTTAAAAAAAAAAAAATCATGTGACAGCCAAATTTCAAGATCTAATTTTAAAAGATTTCATATTTCTTTCAATATTAATTTTAAATAAAAAAAAGAATACAGAGCTACTAAAATAATCGAGTACTGAAAATAAACTTATTTACATAAATATAACATCATAATTATATATAGGACAACACAAAAAGGTATATGACACTATGGTGCTTAAAAGAGTGATACCGTGGCGTCATGGAAATGAACTAATAACTTAGCGCTGAAACTTTTGCACTATTGCAACACTTGCTAATATGTATTGGTTACTTAGTGAATAGTCACATCTCTTTACTGAGAGAACATGGCCGTTGAAAGATACAATTATAATGCCACAATGTTGTTGACATATGAGCGTTGCATCACCCAAGTGGCAAAAATAATGCTAAGGTGTAAGAAATTATGACATCATGGTATTTATTTAAAAATAGAGAATATGGTGCTACGAAGTTGACTTTTTTACATCACAGTGCTGGTAATGCTATGGAACATGTTGTGTTGCCACTATAACACTTGAAAACAAATAATTTGGCATTGTTATGTCCAATTTGTGACGCCTAGGCGATACTGAAGGTAGCGTTGTAACATTATTTTGTCAGACATTGTGGTGCTGTAAGCTCCTTAGAATTTATGTTATTTTTTTAGTTTTTACTATACCAAAATAATTAAAATAATATATTTCCACTAAAAATAAAACATGTAAAATACTACATAATTTACACTTGTTAGTTACTATATCAGTGCTGAGATGCTCGAATACCCAACATTTGTGTACTCAAATAATAAGTTTTCTCAAATTTTGTCAAAATTTGCTCCAAAGCCTAGGGACTCATTCTAGAATACACACTATTTTCATGCACCAAAACACTCCCAAATAAATGCAAATTAGTTTAAAACTCAAATATTAAAAAATGTATTTTTTTCCAATTGGGTCAAAATAGTTTTAACCAAATGCTGAAATTGGAGGTGTCATAACTCTCCCCCTCAGAAAATGTTATCTTCAACATTTTAACTTTCTAGTCTCATATCACATATACTAATCAGGGTAGAACTGTCACATCTCACCCTCTTTTTCCAAGTAGTTTCTCTTCTAATCCTATTCTTCCATTGAACTCTAACTATATGAATATGTTTACTCCTTAGCTTTCTAACTATAGGACGTACATCGATGTCTTCAACATATATATTATTTCTATAATTAGATATCCATTTCCTCAGAAGTATACATGGAATATACTATGAATTTTAAACATGTAATCTTACAGCTATAACCTATAAGCATCTTTCCCAATCCTTTCAATAATCTTAAATGGTCCGACATACTTTGGAATAAAATTCTATTCCGTACAAAATCTGCTAATACCTTTCATTAGTATAATCTTCACATGTATAAAAACTCTTACCTAAAATTTCATAGCATGATGCTTTGCATTAATATATTGTTTCTTCCTGTCTTGTACAACCTTCAATCTATCTTTGATCAAACATATATTTTTCATTGTATCATCAATCAAGATTGGCCTAATCTAATGCTCTCGCCTACCTCTATGTATGATATATGGGTTCTACATTTCCTATCATATAGAGCTTCATACAGAGCCCTACATATGCTTTACTAAAAAATATTTTTGTAAGGTAATTCAATTAGAGGAATGTAATCTTATAAACTACCACCAAAATTAAGAGTAAAAAGTCACAAAAGATCTTCCATTACCTATATAGTCCTCTTAAACTGCCATCATCCTGAGGATGACATGTAATTTTGTACATATTCCTTGCTAAATACCCCTCCGCAGTTTGGAGGTAAACTTGCCATCCCTATTAGAAAGTATAAGTTTCAGTATCCCATGTAATTTAATAATCTCACACACATATAGATATATTATCTATCTATTAAATTAGACTATCGAATCAAAATGAAATGGATTGATTTTATCAGATGATTAATTAGAACCCATATAGTATCATGTCCCTATCTTGACCAAGAAAAATCCATAGCAAAATCATAGTCACCTCTTCCCATTTAAAATGGGTAATGGCTATAGAAAAACTCTTGGTTACTGATGCTCTGCCTTTACAAACTAACATGTTTCACATTTTGAAATAAATTTTATATGGTCTTTATGGTAGAGACCACATCGTTAGTTTGGGATGTTGATCCTAGCAGTGTTCAGCCATAGAAAGAAGAAGAGTTAGCTCCAATAGACTCAAATTCATATGTGTTTATTAGGCTCAAAGATAAAAATGAACACATAGGAAATCTTGAGAAATGGTGGAACAAATGTGTTTAGAGTTGTAGAAATGTAGTATCAGCTTGCTAAAATACAACAGTCTCAACTTGAGTAGTTACAACCAATAGTGCATATAATGGGTGAGAAGAGTAAAAAAATCATAAGTAACCCCAGTGATTCATAAAATTCTTGTATAAAAGGATATCAAATAAATGATTGAACATCAGGTAAGGGAGGCCTTAGCCTAATCCTAAGGGGCCATGTCTATTCCAAAGGATAGACCCTACCCGAATGAATATGATTTAGTTCCTTAACCAAAGGGCTTTGTGCCACCATCATTTAAAATGTTTAGTGGTCTTAAAAACTTGAGACAACATCTGGCTCATTTCCATGCAAGTTGTTGCTACGCCTGATGATCTAATGCTCTGCTATTATGTCAGTTTATTAGTAGTCTTTCTGGAATTACTTTTGAATGGTATGCCGATCTTCCTAATGGACTAGAGAGGACATTTGCTGAGTTGGAGGGTCTATTCTAAAAAAAGGTTCTCTAAGACTGAACATCATTTTACCAAATGTGATATGGACATTAAAATGTGAAAGCCATGAGAGTCTCTATTTGAATACATTTTAAGGTGGAAAAAAATCTCAATGAAGTGTGAACCCTTGTGTAAGAGCAACATGTAGTGGAAATTTTGATAAAGAATATCCACAGGCCTACTACTTTTCTCCTGAAGGGATTCAAGATAAAGACTTTTAAGAAATTGCTTAATATGATGATTCTATAATGCCATTGTTGAAGGATTTATTTGACGAAAGAAAGAAGGGAAGCCTTACAATTCATTTAAGAAAAAACCAACCACTATATTAGTAGTGGATAATGGAAAATAATTAATGAAAAATTAATTGAGTGATAGTCCACCTCATCCATTCCAGGAAATCCCTTATCTTCTAAAAATCCTTCCTCGACATCCTTTGAAGAGAAGATGAAAAAATTCTACCCACTTTGAAGAGAGTCACTAAGGAAGATTTTTAAAGTTTATGAAAGAAACAAACTTCAAATTGATGGAAGCCAAGAAGCTAGAAGAGGAAAATAAGAGGGATGATCCCAATTTTTGCCCCTACCACCACATGTTGGGCCTATAATTGAGGACTACTTTACCTATAAAGATTATCTTGAAAGTAACTTCAATTGGGGTAACATCATCATTCTAAAGGAATATTTGGTAGATCTATATTAGGGGTTCATCAATGTCATCTTAGGTAATAATTATAATATTTTTTTATCCTTTAAAAATTATTAGTATAATATTTTATCCTATATATTTACAAAATTGATTATTAAATCTTTTAAACTTTCTAAATAATTACTGATGAGAGCCTAGGGCCTACTCTTGGAGGTTGAGTTGGAGGCATCGCAAGAGGATGTTGAGATGATTCCCTTTCCAGTAGTTGTTGGAAGTACTATAATTAATAAAAAGTAAAACAATAACATATTTGTAGAGAGGAAATATATAGTTGATGAGAGATGTAATGAGATGGTAGATGGTCGACTCCTATCCCCACATACTTTAATTGACTTTTATTTTGCCCATCAAAGAAAAAAGGTTACAAATTAATAAAAGATCCTTCTATATATATTATGATTACTGCAACTTAATTTTCACAACTATATTTTTATATCATTTGTGTTTTTGATGATTCCAAAATCTTATTGTGTTGATTACTTTTTCTCCTAACATATATTGGAAATACCAGTTTTGTTATTTGAGTATACTAATACTTCAAGAAAATCATACTCCAGACTGCTGACTACTGAAGACTTCAAGATAGATTATATTAGGGTTTATTATATTTGAAGTCTGTACTTTTATAATTTTCTTTAGTCTAAGAGAGTGTGATTGTAATTCGATAACTGTGCACACACACACACACACTAGGGGAGTGTAAAAATTTGAAATTTTTTAAAATTATTCATATTGTATGATTTTGGATCGTACGGAACTATTTGACTTGAGCATTCCTCCAAAAAGCAGTCAATCGAATCACGCATGAAAATTTTCTAAGTTTTGTTTTAAGTCTTATTCATATTGTATGAAGTTACCTTCGTACATATGATGTCCATAAAATGGAATGGCTATGTAGCAGTTCGTGCTGAACGAACTCAATATTTTTCTAAACTATTTGTACCGTACGATCTTAGGTTCATATAGATGACGTCCAGAGTTTTAAATTGGTGCGTATCTTTTTATCCATAAAAACAGATAAATTTTTGTGATTTGTTCATATTGTACGATCATAGGTTTGTACATAAGACTTCTAGAGTACAAAATGGACTTTTTCATTTCATAATGAATGAAACATGGTTTGATTAAAATTGATCATACTTTACGATAAGGGTTCATACAATATATTATATAGAGTACCAAATCAGTTCATACTGAATCGTATCGGATAAATCTATTCAATTTTGAACTGATCATACTATACAATGTCAATTT